ACAGTCGATTAGGGTAATCTGGATCAGATTTTATAGTTTTCTACAATACATGGCCGTGTCGCACATCATATTTTTTTGAAGGTTAGTTTGCGATCTTCCCTATTATTTTTTTCCTCTATAAATAAAGATGAAGAAAAATGATTTGGGTTAAATTGAGCATTTTAAATTCATTAGAAACTATCTTAACGTTTGGAAGGTTTTGATCAATTTGAAGGTTATAAACAAAACTTTAAATAGTAAGAAAATCAAAGACTCTCGCCTGCAAAAAAAAACAAAAGAAATTTGTGCATATTTTTTTTGTTACTCGTTGCTGCAATATCGAAACCAACTTAAATCTTCGATTTTCTTCCCCCAAATTTCGGAATATATATATATAGATATGGATTTAGACTCTAAGGACGAACAGTACGGAATTCTCTCTCAGACACAGAATTCGAGGCAAATTCAAACTCTCACCAATGGAAGATCTCTGTCGTGCATGTGCCACTGCCCTAGCGACATAAGGTGCTTGTCTGGTTTCTCGAGAGCTGTTCGACTCTGAAGACACATCTCTCTCGAAAATTTTTTCGATGTTTTTTGATAGGTTCTCCGACAACAAGTTCTCCACGACTGAGATGACGATTCCCCTCACGGTTCGACCCCTCTCCTTCTCCTCGAACGGTAACCCGCGTGTAGATCGGATGGAAGTTCACGGCCTTTGGGAGAAGCAAGTCTCGACGATGGACAAGACTTCTCCACTGCCGGAGCCTCCGGACCCTCCGTGGTGTGGCCCAGATTCTTCTCTGCTAATAAGGCTTCATCGCCGTTGTTTTTCCTTTGCTCATCTCGCCAAATCCCAAGTCTTATGCTTCATCTCATGCTCCTTTGACTGCGAGAACCACTCCTCGCCCAGTTTCCAACTCGTCTCCGCCGGCGCACCCCTCATCACCCCCACGGATTCAACTCCCGCTTTGTCGGCGACGAGATCTCTTGTGGCGCAAAACCGCCGCCATCCCCTCGCGATCTCATCTCCCAGTGCTGTAAAATCGATCTCTCTGGAAGGGAGACTAGGTTAGCGACTCTCCGGCGAAGGTCCGAGCAGGAATCGCCGCGAAAACTGGCCGGAGGCCTTCACCTGTCACAGAGATCATGGATCTCACTTCCCCTGCACGACAAAATATCAAAATCTTGGGCTTGGCCCATTTGGATAGGAATTTGGGCTAGGCCCATTTGGATAGGAATTTGGGCGTGACCCATCAGGGGACTTGGAACCTTTAGCCCACCATGCCCATTGCTCAAAGATGTTGAACCCATATTATGAATATGTATGGCACTTTGTTAGAGCTGGTATTGGAACCATATTTATACTCTTCATCGACCTTACTGGCTTTTGAGCTTATTGGTTTCTCTGCTTTGAGAAATCCAAAGTTTTATGGATTCTCAAATCCTGTAATCTACTCCCGGTGGAAGAGTCTAATTCCATCTTCTTCTAGCTCTTTGAGTCTGGTCATATTTTCTTCCCTCTCTTAGAGAGTGGTCGTACTCCCGAGCATTATGGCGGGATCTTCAAAGTCACATTGGAAAGTGACTACAGTGAGATTCTCCGGCTTTGCCGCGAAGACCCTCTTGACGCATCCGAGTCACGACTTAGATTCGCTATCCATCTTCTACGATGATC